TAACCTTGTTTGCAACGCTGGGTGACCATTGGATAGACAGCTCTTTCAGAGCCAGTCCAATGAAGAATCAACGCTATGATTTCATGTTTTGTAAGAGGATTAGATGCTACTAACCGCAACAAACGTGACCTGATGGTCTTGGTAGAATATTTGATAATAAGCCTGACGAGCGGCAAGAACCGCGAAACCGGTCGTGTGCTTCCAGGGAAATTTTGTCCAGTCATTCACATACTACTTATTATGATATATCTAAGATGTATTAAAAGCATGATGAAAAGTAAAATACTCAGGTGCCTTCAAATCAATAAACATTTATTGCGGACGGTTCTCGCTGAACCTTTTAGACGCGGATTGTTTTCATTAGCTATCGTAGCAGTAGATTATCGACAACAGATTTACAAGAACAATCCGGAATTGCAATTTGAGGGAACTTACATAGTGGAAACTAGTACTGGAAGAAACCGGAGATGAGCACAGCCAAATAGATCTTTCCGGGCACAGTGATCGGAGTGAGAAGTTTACGAATGACAAAACTTTCGGCACCACTCACAAGCAATCGTTGAGGATCAGTTCGATGTTTAATGAAATCGGGTGCACGTTGTAACTTTCGCTCGGACCATGTCATACCACTATGCAACGCAAACAGTTGAAGAGAGTCAGAATAAACACATTACCGTTGATACGTGTTTTGAATGGACTTCGGTGCTTTGTGCATAAGGCGCCTGAGTGGCTGATACCGATAGCACCCAACCCAGAAGCCAATTAAAATGCCGAAACCAAGTGCTTCGTGTGTGACCACTGCGGTGACTACTCGAAGAAAAGGCCAGTTCTCTGTGTGTATTCGATAGCGTCCGAATATACGCTCAGCGGTGCTCTCGAAACCCATGTCAAATTAGACTACTGAAAAGGGAAAAGTGAAGTGGTCCGTTTTACATGCATGTGATGCCATTTTGTCGTAATAACTGACAGAATGTAGTGAACAGCTGTTTTATCTACAGAAGGTATTGGAATTAACCAGTGTGAACAAAATCACTACAACGTTTCCTCCATGGGGAAAATATCGCAAACAAGGGAAAAGAATGAAAACCAAAATTAATGCTTCAAAACTGTTGTTGGTAGGAATCTTTTGAAATTTTATGTTTAATTTTATATGACGAATTGTACGAGGGTGAACATTCATTATCAGATTGAGTGAATGGATAAGAACGACATTTCAAAAGATCGGTACTAAAATCGCAAACCGTCGATTTGGGAGCTGAAGCCTTTTCTCTGAGCTAGGCGGTAGGCAACTTATAGATATATATATATATAAATGCTCCCATACGACCAAGTGTCTCAAATAGCCTCTGTTGTGGAAGCTCTACTTACTGCCTTCTAATGGAGCGAAGGTCCTTTCCCGCAAAAGTGAGAGGACGAAAAGCCAATATCCGGGGCCATAACCGGGTTGGTGGATCACTGATAGTTCACCTAGGGGAGTTGGTCAAAAACCCTGATTCCAAACCAACCATGAGGAGGTGTACGAACCACACACAACTTCCTGGTTGTGGTAGTGGTCACCGGCCCGATTGGGCATCGAGGTGTATTTGGCACCTTGGACGTTTGACCTCATCCAAAGGGCGCACGATCCGATGAACTGAACACCGACCCCCAGTGGATTGCGGTTTTCACACACCGCCCCGCTGCCTTGCTGGTCAGGCTTTGACTAGCCAAAGACTCGGTTGTGGATTCCTCAGAAAAATTCACCTATCTTGGCGTGGGCAACCTGGCAGTATTCCGCCCACAAACAAATCATGGAACGCTTTTATTTCTTATAAATATTATTGTACCATGATGTTTGGCACACTGTCTGGCGTCAGACGTGAGTGTAATATGTACACATCTTTTTGTTACAATAACCTTGTTTGCAACACCGGGTGACTTTTGGACGGACAGCTCTTTCAGAGCCAGTCTATTGAAGAATCAATGTTATACTTCGATGTTTTGTAGGTGGGTTACTAAGTAGCATTTAACCCACCTACAAAACATCGGTCGTGCGCCTCCACGGGAATGTTGTTCAGTCGTTCACATTCTACTTATCATGACATATATGGTTTTGTCACTTGTGAAATATTTTTATTATATCTTTTCCGACGCGTCTGAATCCAGACTGTGTCAGACAAATCATGGTACAATAATCTTCATGAAAAAGAAGAATGTTCCACGGTTTGTGAAATATTCAGTTTCACAATTCGGTTTTGTTTTGTGACCGGAGGAAATGTACACCTTTGAAGCGTTATACAGTTTGGTGTGAAATAGTAGTAGATAGTTCATACTTGCAGACCGGCTTGCTTAGGGTCGTTATATTCGTACTGTACTGGTCAGCTAGATATATTTTGAAGCTTTTGGTTCTGTTTTAACATAGACTTCAGTTTTTCGGTTGATTATCTTTCTTTACAGTGTTTTTTTTTGCAATTCGAGGTTCATCGATTTTGATTGTTTTCCCTCTACGTCATTTGCATTTAAGTCCTGGTTGATGAAACAGCAATGGTAAAATATTCTGATACGTGCGGAGTCAGAGGATGTTGTGGGCTGGTAGTTAATGGCATACAATGTGATAGATGTGGTTTTTGGTACCATGAAGTGTTCCAGTATGCTGCATCTTCAACATGGAGAACTTAAAGGGATCCGCGCGCACTGCGTGGCCCTGGCCCAGGCCGAGGACTGTTATCAACCGTGACCACTGTGCCACCACAAGCATCAAATAATCGCTCGCCGAAACCAGTAACGATGCAGATGAAGGAGGTCAAATCAGGTATGAAGCATAGTATGAACGAAAGCATTGGAAAAGAGAAAATCACAAACGCTAAAAGCAAGAGATCAAACAAAGAGCCTACAGTAAAAACGGTTGGAGTCCGTGGAAATGAGTGCTGGTATAGAGCAGTTAGAGAAAGATTTCAAAGAACTACAAAGAAGCACTCACTCTTTTGGATCATATAAGAAATGTCTTGCTGCGTAGGTTTGCGGAGCCAACGATTCGCGACGCTAAAGCGCGACAGGAGGCGGACCGCAAGCATGGGCAGGATGTTTTTAGTTCGACAGGAATGCCGTATATTAATTGCCACAGGGTTGGGTTGTGGAGAGAAAATCAGGCACCCAAACCCACACTAGTCGTATTTCACAGCGGCTACTGCCGGGACCTGCTGATCTCCAGGGCTGTTTCAGTGGAAACGAACACCAGAGGGTGCATCAAAGTTGTCCCTGATGCAGTTCATCACGCCCAGCGAGGTGTCGTCCTACATCAGGAACGATGCAACAAAAGAACCCCAAAGTTATGCTGAGTAAGCTGAACGCTCCTCTGACGTGTGGAATAAGAGTGGTTAGTGCACGCCAATGCGTGGGGATCCAAAGAAGCCTACCAAGTAGGTCATCCTTGAGCAAGTCCACGCCAATGAAACCCAAATCAGGTGGAAAAAAGCCGACGAAAAGAAGGGGCAAAATAAGAGGCAGTCCAGAGTTGGATTTCCAGGGAAAATGGCAGACCAAAACTCGAATCTAGTGCTTCCAAATGTGTGGTTGAATCGATGAACCGAAGATTGTGCGTGAAGGTGAAGTCCGAAGGATAGTCAGTTCAAATTAATCAATTTAATTATCCCACACCACTACCCACAAGTAACTGAGTTAAATGCGAAAAATATACAAGTTGGAGCGAGGAATGAAGGAATCCACTCCACCACCGGGGGACGCACCAACGAACTAATCGAGACGAACATCGGGTAAACAATCCTAGCATACACTCTGTACTTAGTCTGATGCGATGGAAACCAGATCGACGAACCCAAATAACAGTTGATAATTGTAATGGCCCGTTGATGAATTTATCGAAAAACAGCTTGTTTCGCCTACCGGATCTTGCTTTCAATTTGGCAATGGGTACTTTTCATTTAATAAGGATAAATAAAAAGCATTAATGAAGAAAAGAAATGGAAATCCCAAAACTGTTAAACAAGTCTATGGAAACCTGTTGTTTCTTAACTAGAATACGTGATAATTAGGCTACTGTAGAGTTACGATATGTTTATTCGAGAGGGAACACAACGGTATTGGGATCTAGTTGACGAATGGAAACAACAGCAAGATACATCTGCGTGTAGCGCGTGTGTGGAGTCGATAAGAATCTTATCTTAGTCACCAACTTCTCGAACGGGATTGAGGAGACGCGGCTAATGATAGTCAGTCCACAACGAAGCAGTCTAAAATCTTCCTCAAGGAGACTGGAAAAAATAACAGGTGAAATATAAAGTAAACGGAGAATACACATTGGCACACGAATTTGGAGATGATCGCTTGTTGATTACGAAAATAAAGAAGTTTACGGATATGAAAAGGAAGTCGTCGAAGCTCACTGACGATATGTTGGATGCGAGAAGTCCAATGAAGATCAGCATCAATAAAAAAAAACCAGTTATCTAATACAGCTTACACGGGATACTGGTCCAGAGTCAATGGATATCAGTCCCGATGGGAAAGAACAGCGTGTTAATATTGTTAGGACGGAGCCTGAGAAACCCGTCCGATCGCGCACGCCTCCGAGTCAGACCACACGCACGCTCCCAACGCTCCAGACAGGCTGAACCTGATTGGGTGATCACAGGACGTGTCAACCAATGTTTGTCCGATCGATCAATCGATATGTCAAGGACACTATCTGATTGGTGCGCCACTGCGCCGTCCTCGTATGCACGATTAGTTCTATATTTTTTTGACATATCGATAACTTATCGAAGAATAATACACGCTGACTGTGTCTAAACCTGTGTTAAGAGTCATTCGTGTCATTCGTACGCTTAGACCAAACACAACAACTGGCGACGGGATAATTTACGGATC